ATGAAGACAACCCAGATAGATTAACAGAAAATATATACAGAATTGCATCTATTGGACAGGAAATATGGCTGTGAACCCAATAGCCAATATGTATGTGCTTCTAATGAACATCACAAGGGCATCATTATAGTTGCTGAATCTGTGAAGCTAATCAAGTCTTGCAACTAATATTCTATGGACTTCTGGAAAATCAGTGATTCAAATTAAAAGCAAAGATCAAAACACAAATAAGATTTGTCTAAATCTTCATGAAGTATGGGTTTTCATATTTAAATCTCAAGCAAAAAAATGCACTTAAGCCAGTCAGCAAGAATTTCTCAACTGGCATTTGGCAAGTTCACTGGGGTGATCAGGAGCAACAAGATATTACAATAATCAATCATGTTCTTCTCCAGCTAGATAAAGTCAGCTAGAGTTGGAGTATATTTTATCATTTAAAAAAAAAATTGGAATAGCAGTTGACACAAATGGAAGAGTTCTAATTTCATTCATTAAAAACAGAGAAATACCTTAAGTGTTCTGAGCTGTATTAAGTGACCTAGAATACTCATCAGTCGGTTGATTAACTCCTTTGATACTTTCCCCTGGCTTGCCAGCTGCAAATATTTTAAACTACATAAATTTTTTTTTTTTCTGAAGCTTCAAGTAATAGAATGAAGTGAAAAACTAAAATCATTTGAAAGCAAATCAAATACCGCTAATCTAGCAACTTTAGCAAGCTTCATCTTTATTTCTCTAGGCAACCTCCTCTTAACCCCCTGGGCTGTAGTATCAGCCTCTTGAATGTCCACAGCAGGTGGCCTTGCTGTAATATTTTTTACAGCAAAGGAAACTTGTAATTTCACAATGAAATGCTTATAAATATGGTGTAGAAGACACATGAACACACTCACATTCAGCAACCATCTTCTCGAGCTCCCCAATAGCCTTTTCAAGCATTGAACCTTTGGGCCTAATAGTTGAACCATCCTTTCGGGGCATGTGTGAAGTATTCTGAAATGATATTACAAAAAAATTAACAGAGGCAGCAAGAGTCATTATCCAGGGCAAAATGTAGCTTCTTATCACTAAGCTCTCTATGACATGCCCAAGATTTGGAAAACAGAAAATATCTAATATAACATCTAATTGCACCACATGCACATATAAGAATTGATCATCGCAGCCTGGAACTTTCTTGGCTGTTTTCCATAGTCTCCATACCATCCAACCATAACTTTTTATAAGACATTATGTAAGATCTATTTCAAATATGTCTTTACCTATGACAAAAGCACCAGCACTCTCCAAGAAAGTAGCTTTTATGTATATCAAGGTATTGAGCTTTTATCACTACAAAAAAAATACACACAAACAGGGATAACAATCCTAGTGCTCAGAGAATGGAGGTTGCCATTACAAGCATCCCATTCCCATATGTCAAGAAATAAGATTATATTTGGAAGACTAGTTGTGACTAATAAGTTATCATTACCAAAGTTGCACAAAATTAAATGTAGGACATGTTACTAAAATAAAATAAAACTCACTGTGGTTTGCATGACATATTTTCCCTCAGAAACATTAATGTCACCCAGTTCACAGATGCCATTCTTTTCTCTTGTTCCAACCAATGGTTCAAGCTGCTCTATGTTGCTCAGAGGTTTTCCATGTTGGAGTTTTGGTTGTGAATATGCATTTTTATCACTGTATTTCTGATGTAAAGCTTCTGAGGACCCACCTGTGTCCTTGCATTTGTTAGTGGCAATATTCTTTGACAGGAGAACTCCAGTCCTTGACTTTTCGACTTCCTTTACATCTGCCATAGATGCAGATGCATCACCATTCAAAACTTTCAAATATGGAGAAGGATCTGTCATCATTTCTTTATCAGAAGATTTTTTCCTGGAGATAATTCCAGAAACACCTAATTGGTTCTGACCTTTGACATCCCTATAAGGTTCATCTATTACATTCATATTCTGGAAAGGACTGGAAGGGTTCTTCCCAAGTGATGCTTCTGTATTTGCTGCAGGCATCTTGGAAGTTTTTATGTGCTTATTTGATGCACAATCCTCAGCACTCTCACCATGAGTTTTTGCCATATCTTTTCTTCTCCTTTTCTTTGGCTGCTGATTAGGTACTTCAACAGGTTCATTCCTTGACAGGAAAAGTAAAAGAAAACAAAGTTAGTGAAGAGAACTTAAAATGAAGTTGACGATTGAAGTTTAAAATCTATAAAAAGTAGCAGCACTATAATAACACTCTTTTGAGTAAATGTAACAACCAATCAGTTTTAACAGTTTCAGAAAAAATAAAAAAGTTCAAATATTTGAAATCTAAATTTAAGACAAGTCCCCTGCATAAGTCATGTTATAACTAGCATCCTGAATCAAGAGAAAAACCACAGATGAAGCATAAGAAAGTTGGAGGCAAGGGGTTCCTGATGACCAACACAAGAGTCAGAGTGAATGAAAGTAGCAATTTTCACATAATCAAGAATGTAGCAACATCTGTGGAATCATTTTAGATTATTTCAGATTTGAATCTCCACTAAATTTTGCAGCAACTTAAGAGTATAGAACTCATAATTGGTCACTGTTGGTGTTAAGTGGTTTTTGTACCATCTAAACAGAATTCTTTGTGGGGCTTCTTCACAAAATACCAAAAGAAAGTAACCAGAAAAGAAAACATCATTGACTTAAGCAAATAGATGCAACGTCAAGACACAAGAGAGTCCAAAAAAACTCACATCCTTTCCAACTTTCCCCTGTTTACAAAGAATCCATCATGTTTTATTGCTGAATTGTCAACTTCAAAATATTCATCCTGCACAAGTAAAGTAACATCAAAAAGGATGTTAAAACGTGAATAGCATCAAATGCAGCTGCAAGTGAACCAAGCAACACGGGATAAAATAAATGTAAAAAAATCTAAGTACTAACCAGCTCTCTATCATCAATAAAAGAATCTTCTGTATCATATTGATCATCATCAGGAATATTGTCGAGTTCTTCCTCATCACTGCTATCTTTACCCTGCAAAGTGTTCCTAATTAATACACATATATGGTTCAAAATGGTTTCAAAAGGCTCACACACATGCTGAAAAGTGAGAATGCGAGAACCTGCAATTCAGGAAATACAACATTTCTAATAAGATTGAAAAACAACATACCATGTAAAGGTGCTCAATCTTCTCAATAACAGCACTGAAACGATTTGGACGAGGCTCATCCTTCACTTCCTCTTCCGCTGGTTGTCCCTACATAAGGTTAACAAAAATTGAGTATCAAATACTGCATGCTAAAATACCACTTTCAATCCAACAAACAAAACTCTGGGATTAATGCATTACTAGTTTTTTCACAAAACAAGATAATCTAAAACGCAAACATAAAACAACAAGATTTTCATACTTAACATCAAAATTTTTTATTATTACTATTCATTAATGTAACATTTGGATATTATTACTGGTTAGTGCAGGAAATAGAACTTACTCAATCATGAGGATTTTCGCAGAATGCCATTGCTATTCTCAAACAGAAATTTCAACAGCAATGAAAGAACGAAACTATTTTCTTAGTTGCAAAATATGTTAAACAAAACGCCTCAAATTACTAACTCCAACTGACACTTAGTAATTAGAGCACCATACATGTGCATTTACCCAATAAACGCGCTGGGAAAATAAGTATCGAAAAAGGGTTCTTACAGGTATGATGCGAGACTGGAGATTCGGATGAGCATTGGGAACGGGGTCAGGCGCGGGGGCAGAGACTGAGGCTGATGGTGAGGCAGAGGATCCATTTACCCTTTCCGCCGCTTTCATGAGCTTCCTCCACGAGACATACGTAGTCTCACCTGGTCGAAGCTCTACCCTGACCACTTGCCGGTCACCCGCCTTCATCATCTTCGGCGAAACCACCCCCGACGATCCACCGCCACCACTCTTCTCCTCCGCCATCCAGCAATTCCAGTTCTAGGGCAATCGAATTCGAAGAAATAGCCAAGAATCGATCATGTATAGGTTTGACCGGAACCAAGGTAAGGTAATTGCGGAAAAGAAGGGTCGCCGGAATGAAGAAATCCGTTCCTTTGAGAGGGTTTTTTAAAACTGGAATTATTTTGTTATTTTTTTTTTGGGTTTAATTTTCTTCAATTTTAACCGCTAATTAAAATTTTATAAATTACTCCCCCATCCAATCTTAGTAATTTTAATTTAATTTTTTTAAATTTTTTTAAATTAAATTTTATATAAAAATTTGATAATTGATGTAAATTGTGATTAAAATTATTTTTTATATATAATTTTAATTATAACTTAGATAAATATATTAATTTAGTAGTATTAAAATTGATAGAAGGAAATATAATTTTTGGATTTAACTTTCCCGGGTTTTTTCCCACGAGGAATTTTTGTGCGAGGGAACCGGATTTCGATGGTTCGGGCTAAATAGATGGGGCGGATTCGACCCGTCTCTTATTTCGGGTTTTCCACCCCAAAAAAAAAAAATCTTAGCTGAAATATTTTGCCAAAAAAAAAAAAATTTATCTTTAGCAGGAAGAACTGACTCTCACTCTCAACTCCGATGACCGCCGTCTCCGCCACTTTCTTCTTCCTCTCTCCGCCTCCCTTCTCTCCAAAACCTCCGTCCGTTGCACTTCTGACCTTCTCCCCTCACTTTCACTCACTCAAACTTAAACCCATCTTCACTCCATTGACTCTTGCTCCCAAGCGCTCCTTCCTTGTCCGCGCAGACGACGATGATGTGGAGGCTGCAGGACCCGAAGACTACGAAATGTACGGGGAGGAAGTGGAGGAATTGGATAACAAGAAGGACTTCGACGTGGAGTACGAGCCTTTAGCTGCTATTGCTGTTGCTGGGGCCGTTGTTGGCGCTGATGAGGACATTGCTCTTGTTGAGAGCAAGAGCTTCGTGTCCACACAAGGGTGGGAATCGGAGATGGTGGTGGATTATAGGATAAATGAGGAGGAGTTCCATAAGATTAGCTTGTTGGATTGCGATTTTTTCATCAGAAAGCCCCCAGACCCGGATAATGATGTCTATGACTTCCGGGAGGTTTGTCTGGTTTGGTTAAATTTCTGTTTTTATCATTTTCTTGGGGTGTTAACATGGTTTTCTGATATGTGTTTTCTGTTCCCCCATTTCCTCCTCACCTCTTGTGTTGCAGATGTATGTCACCCCTCCAGACACAGATGTGTATTCAATTCCAAAGGTTTTGGCTCCAATGCCTGAAAAGGTAGTTTGATAGTTGTTTTGTTCTTGTTGATTTTAATTTTTTTTTTTTTTAAAATCTGATTTGCATAGTGCTATTACTCGTTATGCTACATGATTAAAAAGATACCTTTTGATGATCAATAAAATTTGTATTGCTAGTGTTGGTATTTGAAATGATAATGAAAGCAAGGAGCTTTAGCCAAAAGACAGGCTAATTTCATGAAATCGCGTGGTTCATACTTTTTCTTGTGTTTCTATTGCTCACTGCTAGAAGGGAAGGTAAACATGCTCTGCCTGTGTAACATAATTTTGGAAGTGTCCGTGGAATTTTTTGCTGCTAGTTGTCAAATATAGTAGTGCTTCAAGGGCTTTTATTATTCGTTGCTCAAGCAGCTAGTTTGTATGACCGCTTACCAGAAGAATAAGTTCCATAGGATCATCTGTATAATTCTCATATTGTCCTGTGTGTTGCCTCATGGTTTTATAGAGTCTCAAAGAAAAGTCATAATTCAAGAGTCAGACTTGCTTCCAATTGTGTCATTGTTGTGTGGTGGATTTACTCACTGCATGGTACATTCTTAAGTAGTTCTCTTAATGTCAAAAATTGCAGTATATTCGCTGTGCAAAGAGTGATTATGGCTGCTACAGTGTTACAGAACCACCCATTGATGCTCCTCGAGATCCACTCTATAAATCTAAGAAGGAGGTCCTGAAGGTATGAGTCATCTTTGCTGCATTACATGCCATTTAATTAACATATCATGTATTTGGTACATTTTACTTTTCACTGTACCTTTTGATCTTTTCCCCTCTCCAGTCCAGTGGCAATAACCTGAAAATTGTCTCATTTTTCTTTTTTCATTTTTATGCTGTATATAATGTTCTATTTTATACAATCACATTACTAATCTTGTTCCGTTTGGCAGGTTTTCTTGACAAAGCATTATAGGAACCGGAGACTGGGCGACCAAGAGTTTGTGCTAGACTTTGAGGAGATATATGTTATTGATTCAAAGACAAAGTCTATTACGAGAGCAAAAGTTGTGGTAAGAAATTCAGTTGTTAAATCTGGTAGTTTTAAATGATTTGCTTTCTTTTCTTTCAGATAAAAATTAAGCAGCATGATGATAATGATGCTTTAGATATATTTGAGTTGAAGATGCACTCTTTCGCATTCTTTGGATCACTCAAGATCCTTATTTTAAGAATAATTTAAACACCAAAATTTCTGAATGGAAAATGGTTTCCTGTGTCAAATACAGTGAAGACATACTAATCACTTAAGGTTCTCTCTCATTTTCAGTTCTATTTTCATCTTTTCTTCTAGAGGCAGGGTGGGGGGCGGTTGTTGTGATGGACTAATACCATTTGTTCAAGTGTGTAAAACTTCTTGGAATTTCTCTGAGCAAGTAATGCCTGTAGACATTTATCCACCTGTGATTGCTAACTGGTTGATCTTTTTAAGTGGGTGAAACTGGTGATTGCTTCTTATCTCATAAATTTTTTTATAATTATTGATTTTATACATGCTGTCTGCAGGTCACAGTTCCAGGAGGAAGAAATCGGGATAGAAAGGGTGACCTTCTAGTAATACGTGATAACGGGAACTCCTTCAAAATAATTCATGCGGTAACTATCCCTGCTCTGAATTGCTCCCTGTAGTTTTATCTCTAATTCATTACTAAATTCACTTTTCTCTTTTATGCTTCTAGAGTGAAAGAGATGATCCTACTACTGTGATAGAGAGGGAAGAGTGGATCAAGACCAGACAAGATATGGAAAGACATCTACGAAAGCTACGAGACTTTAGCATCTCCAACTGGTTCTAATCAATTGGCAGATTTTAGAGATTGCTTCATGAACTTAGGTAGACCAATGTAATGTAGATTGTCTGGAAGCAAACAACCACCGTGCTGATTGAACATGTAATCATGCATTGACAAAGAGGGCATCTGTCACTCATGGGGTGCCTACTAGACACCCTGTTCAGTTTTGTAGCATGTCGAGGTTGCTTAAACTTGTAATTATTTCTGTTGTAAATCTTATTTATAAAAATTGCCAATAAAAAACTACTATTACCTTTGTTTTTGTTAAAACTATAAAATAAAGACAAGGTGTGTGTTGTACAATGAACAAACAAATGGATCCTCATGTTCAAAAAAAAAAACAAACAAATGGATCCTACAGTTTTCAAGAAAATTGGGAATCCGGCCCTGTAGAGTTTATCCAAAAAATTAAGCAAAATACTACCTTAATTCCCTGGTATAGCTTCCCATCTCCTGTTTGATGATCCTGACAGTTTTGGACCCTGAAAATCGTATTCCTTCCTTGAGGAAAGAGGCACACGGAAAATCCTTTGTTCCCCTTTCCCTTTTGACCCTTTCTTCTGTCTGACTTCTGTTTCCTTTAATATAGATTATTCATTCACAAAGTAAACCCCTGATCATGATCTTGATTTGATGCTCAAGATTTGATAATTATACCATATTTAGTTCCATCACCCTGGACAAGACCATCCTAGACTTCATTGGCCTTAAAGCATGACACCTGTCTGTCCTACATAATTGCGTATCCAACACATCAAAATAAAAGACAACCTACAATCCCTAATCTTTGTCTAAAAATTTCCTTATTTCCATGGAAACCCTAAAAGGCTAAGCTTTTAATTTAATATCTAGAGGGAGGTAATGGAAGAGACCAATGGCCATCAAGGGGAAGCAAGCAAAAACTAACAAAGCCATTTCATTTCTTTTCATATATCAGAAAAAGGCAGTTGGCTTGGCTGTGTCAAAACCCCATAAACAAACCCTCCCCTTGCTCTGTCATCCGGAAAGTACTTTATCTCCCAACCCTAATTAGTATGTGCTCCTGTTGCTTTAACTTTATCTCCTCCTCATATTTCGAAACCCTCATTTATTGATTTCTTTGATCTTTTACAAGGAAGACAAGAGAGAAAGAAAGAAGAAAGTTGAGAACTTGAGATGGGGAGAGGTAAGATCGAGATCAAGAGGATTGAGAACTCAAACAACAGGCAGGTGACCTATTCCAAGAGAAGGAATGGCATCATGAAGAAGGCTAGGGAGATCACCGTTCTTTGTGATGCTCAAGTTTCCCTCATCATCTTTGCTAGTTCTGGAAGGATGCATGAGTATTGTTCTCCTTCAACTACGTACGTCTATCCATATCACTTCTTTTTCTTCTCATGTTCTTCACTATTTTTTTTTTTACCTTTTTTGTTGATGGGTTTTCTTTGCTTTTGTTTCTGACTTCTTTTTCGATCCCTTCACTTTCATGCTTCAGTTTGATTGATATTTTGGACAAATACCACAAGGCATCTGGGAAGAGATTGTGGGATGCTAAACATGAGGTGGTTTTTTTTTTTCTTTTCTTTTCTTCTCTTTTCTTTTTTTCTGTTTTCTCTCTGCAGTGTTTATATATATCCATTGTGACTGATGATACTTTAAGAACATCTGCTTGTTTCTCGCATGTCTAAAAGGAAAATGACAGTTTTTTTTGCTAAAAATATGTTAAAAGACATGAACAATGAATTCTATGGATGGATCTACAAATGGGATCTCTGCTGATAGTATTCCTTCTCTCTCTAGCTCTAGAACATATTTTATTGAAAAACCCATTATGAAATGTAACATCTTTGAACAGATCTGGTAATAACATGTTATTCTCCCCCTTCCTTTTCCTTGCAAAATTTGAAGTAACTACATCTGAGTTAGTTTGAACTTTTAAGGGAATATAAACAGATTTCCAATGGGATCTACCTAGTATCTCTAGGGTTTCTTCATTTCTTGATTAAAAACACAGATGTGTCCATCATACCCTAACTTAATATCAATAGATCTGCCTTGCAGGCTTTCCTCTTTCTTCATTGACTTGCAGAAATATACTTTTTATTATATATATGGAGAGATATATAACATAAATTAAAGGATATAGAGTTGTTTTTGTTTTTCTTAATTTCTTTTCTTTTCTTTTCTAAATTTTTTTCCTCCAACAACAAAAACTCAACAGAACCTCAGCAATGAAATTGATAGAATCAAGAAAGAAAATGACAGCATGCAAATCGAGCTCAGGTATGCTTCTTTTTCTCTCTTTGTTTCTTTGGTTTTCTCTATCCTTCTATGATCTGTTTATTAGTGTGATATTTGAAGCACACGAATGTATATGAAATATTATTTAGGCACCTGAAGGGGGAGGATATCCAGTCATTGCAACACAAAGATCTGATGGCCCTAGAGGAGGCCCTGGAAAATGGCCTTGCTAGTCTTCGTGCTAAACAGGCAAGACATTTCCTTTGTTTTTGGTGTTTTTTTAACTTGATTTCCGGATATGGGATGTAAAAACTCAATCTCACTCTGACCTTTTTCTTTTGACAGATGGACCTACTTGATGTGGCTGCCAGAAATGTATGTAGTACAAATTAAATTAAAATAAAACAAAACCACAAAATGAACTAGACTTTTGTTTGTTTTAATTTTAGATCAATTCTAATTAATTTGATTATAATAATTAATTAATCATATTTATCTTTATCAGGTTTAAAAAACTCTCTAGCTGAGTATATATATATGAAATTTTGCTATTTTCCTTAATTTTTTTCTTTTGTCTGAGCACTTCAGGTGAAAATATTCGAGGAGGAAAATAAGGAACTCCAATTCATTCTGGTACTCTCTCTCTAGATCTCTTCTGCTGGTGTACTGTGCATGTATATATCTGTGTTTTATATGCATAATGGGAAGAGATAGGTACTGTGCATGGGTGCAAGCTAGCTAGTGGAAGATTTCTGAGAAATACCTGGACAAACACATGTGCTTGTGGTGACATGTGCATGAGTTTGCACATAATTAATTGTATATATAAACATGACTTTTTGCAGTGCATATATATCAATGAGTGATTTAAAATTTCAAGTTACTTAGATTCTAGTAAATGAAGAAACCAGCTTCAAAATTAAAGTTGCATGAATGAAATAAGATTTCTAGGAAAATATCTAATCACTTGTTCTACAAATTAAACGTCGTTTTCTTTAATTTTTGTAATAATTCACACATGCCTATATATGCACATATATGAATAGGTGATTTATATTCGTTTCGTGTATATTGAACTGAAGCTACATATAATGTGGGATATGATCATTTCGAACCTGCTTGACATACTTGGTGTCATATGTATGCAGCATCAGCAGGAGCTTGCCATGGAAAATGCAAGGGAGCAGATGGATAATGGATACCAGAGAGCAAGGGACTACAATGGGCAGATGCCATTCGGCTTTCGGGTGCAGCCTATGCAACCAAATTTACAAGAGAGGATGTGATATATATATCTATATATATGTGCATGTCTCCAGCTCTCTATCTTTAGTATGGCTTCAATTCTCGGCAGTGTTCTTAGACTTGGTTTGTAATTAATAAGGCCATGTGGACCTTACATATTGGCCTGTGTACGTGGTTTGTGTGTAATGTGTACGCACTTATGACTATTATTATGCTTAATTAAAACTTATTTATTATATAAATGTTGTATTTTTTTTTTAGGTTACGTAAATGATGGCGTCATGGATATTATGTTTTCCTAGGTACTAGCTAAAACAAAAGTTTAGAGATTTGAAAACAAAGCTTATGGTATTTTTAAGGATTTTTTTAAAAATTTATATTCTTAAGAATATAATTAATTTATTATTTTTACTATTAATTAGTATTACAAATAATAAAATTTGACATTAATTTTATCACGTTTATCATGTAAATTATATATAAATAGTTAATTAAATAGAAGTTAATTTTTATTTTTAATAATAATTAATAACAAAAAGGTGTTCTTAACTACACAAATTAAAAAAATTCTGTTTTTAATATACTCAAATTAATTGTCTTGAGGTGAAAGATTGAAATAAAATATGGTAATAATTATAACTAATTAAAGGAGGAAGATTCATACTTTATTGTAGCCAGCATGTACTTCATCATCCGATGATGTCATAAAAATTCATAATTACTATCGTGTCTAAGAAAATAATTAGTGTTAAACAATGATATGATAATAATTTTTATTAATTTTTGAGTCAATTATGTTATTAAAGTATATAGTTATTTATTTAATATTATTTAATTATTATAAAGTAAAATTAATTGCACTTGCCCTTGTGACCCAATAACTAATGTCATTGAAAAAGTCCATATGCCCCTCTCTTAGGTGGGTTTCGAACCCGCCTTACAACAAAAAATTCAAAAAAAAAAGAAGAGTAAAATTAATTAAAATGTTAACATTAATTGTAAATGAACAATTATTATTGTGCCCACTTTTTAGGAATTTTAAAAATTTATTATCCTTTAAATAAATTTAAGAAATGAAAAAATTTATTATATAATTTAAAATGCACAAAAAAAAAAAAAACACAATATTTTGTGCCGTCCCATCCAAGCATTTAATGTATTATTACAAAATATAAGAGCATATTTGATGAAACTTGTCAATGCTTTAGTTTTTTTATACTATTCATATTTTATAAATTTAAATTTTTTTCTTAAAAAGTTATGTTTTATAATTTCTTTTTAATTTTAAAAAGATTTTAAAAAGTAAATCTTGAAAAGTTTTAAACTTTTATTTTTTATAAATTTCTGTTTTTTATAAATTTTCTTTTTACTAACTTTTTATTATTTTTAAAAGTAATTTTCAATTTTTTTTTTAATAAAAATTTAAACTTATGAGTTATAAGAGTACTAAAAAAATAAAAATTCTAAGAAACTTCACCAAACATGTTCTAAAACTCATCTTGAAGCACTTTTAGATGAGAAATAGTTAACTTTTTATTTTGATAAAAAATTTATTATAGTTTTTTATTAAAAAAGGTTTTTTTTTGTCTCTAAAATTTAAAATTTAATCCCTTTTTTAGTCATTTTATTAAATTTTACATATATAACATATTAGATGGTAAAAATTTTAAAATAAAAAAACTAAAAAAATACTAAAAAAAGGGTTACAATAGCCTCAATTTAGTTTTTATACTTAAAAAAAAAAAACCATTTTGGTCTATTTTCTCTAAAATTTATGTCAATTAATATTAAAATTTAACTTAATGGAGGGACTAAGAAGAGATTAAATTTCAAGTTTTAAAGATCAAAAAGAGTTTTTTAAGTAGATGGATTAAAAAAAGATTTTTTATCAAATTAGAGGGATCATATAAAGGTTTTAACCATGAGAAAACAAACTCCAACACAATGACGAAAACACCCTAATCAAGAAAGACACGCGTTAACTATAAAACAGAGCCACTTGCCTTGTACCTGATAAACTCACACTCGTAGGTCTACAACGTCCCTCACCCAATCATCCACCGAACCGAGGAATTCGCTTCCTCAGTTTCTCTCTCCAAACAGAAAATTTCATTAAAAAGGAGGTGTTTTTTTTTTCTTTTTTTTTTTTCTTTTTCCTTTTTTTTTTCCTCCTCCTGTTTACAAACAATGGAATAGTCGGATAAATTAAAAGAATTTAACATCTCCCCCTTCCCTTCCCTTCCCTTCCTTTCCTTCTTCAACGACCTGGTCTCTTTTCTCTCCTCAGGTATTTCCTTTTCTGATTTATTTATTCTTCTTTTTTTTTCTTCTTCGAATTTTTTTCTCATGAATATCTATGCGGATATCTGCATTAGTCTGCAAATTCTGAGATTAGGGTTTTTGGTTATGCAGAGAAAGGGATTCTAGGGTTTAGACGTAGCTTTCACGCAGGTACTGTTTTTTTGGTTTTTTTTTTTTTTTTTTCCCCCTCTTTTTGGTTTCATTCGGATGGTATCGTGAACAGAACTTTGCTTGCATTGTATTGGGTGAGGGGATGATTTGTTTTATTGCGTGTGTTGAGTAATGGGTGCGCCTCAGATTGAATTTGTAAAATCTGAGATGGGTTTGTCTGAGAATTTGACTTCAGTAGTTGTGCCTTTGCCTGGGGCTGATGCTGAGAAGCTTTCCTGTTCAGAGTCAACGGATGGCTCTGTGCCCAAGCAGCACTTTTGCACAGGAGAGGAATGCAATTTGGCAGGTTGTAGTGTGGATGGTATCAGTTCACTCGATGCTAGCTTGGGTTTTTGTCAGGATGAAAATGCAGCTCAGATGAATGAAAACTGTGATAATGTGGATGCTTCACAGTCGAAGACAGTGGTGGGTGATCAGTTTGGAATTGATGTTTGGAATTTGGTAAATGATCTCTTGTGCTCAGATAATGGAGGGTCTCCAGGTCAGGATGATAGGGGTTCTAAGGATATGTCTCCAGGCTTGCCTCAGGATGAGAATGCTGTGAGTATCAGTGCTCTTGATTGTAATGATAATCGAGATGAAGTTGATGTTTGTAACTTGCAGAAGGATGGTAAGAGTATCTGTGGTCTCTCTGTAGAAAGGCTTGGGGAAGGGAAAAGTGATGGTTTAATGAAGATAGACAATGAATGTTGTGATCAAACACTGCTTTCGGAGGACTATGGAAAGTCATCAGAAGTGATGCCAATGACTGGTTCACCAAACAACTATATGGCACAGAATAATGAGAAAGAGACCAAGAGTGTCGATAGTTGCACTTTGCAGGGGTTCATTGAGGCTGTAGAAAAAAGGTTGGAAGAGAAAAGGGATGATCAAACCAAGACTGATACTGATATCCAAATACTGCCTTCACAGGGGTGTCAGTTGTCCTCAGAGTTGATAAGTTTGACTGATGAGATGAGAAGTTGTTCCCAACTGGACGAGCAGAAGGATAATAAGGGCTCCAGTTGTCTCCCTGCAGGAGGATTTATTGAAAACAAGTGTGAAGTTTTAGCAGGAGTTGGGGAAAAACTTTGCAACCAAATTTCCCCCTCAGAGGACTGTGGTTTGCCATCAGAATCAATAGGTACAACCAGCTATATGAGCAGCGGTGGTCATCAAGATGAGCTGATGCATGCTAAGAGTGTCAGCAGCCCCACTCTGGATGGAAAAGTTGATGTTTCATTTGTTACAGAATCTTCCATGTGCAACCCAATAACAACTTCAGATTGTGCTGGAATGCCAACAAAATTATCAGATGCAGGTGATTTAGTTAGTAGTTATCAGAAGGATGATCAGAGTGGCAGGGATTACTCTCTAGAAAATTTCACTAAAACTGTAGAAACAAATAGTTCTGATGATGTATGTCCCCAGTTATTGCCTTCAGGAAGTTGCCTGGGAGCCTTGGAAAGTTTAAATGCGGCTGAATCATTAAGTAATATTATCCTGCAGAATGTTGAAACTAATAATAATAAGATTGTTGGTGGTCGATCCACAGATAGTGGTGTGAAGTTTTCAGAGTACAGAAGTGATGTTACAACTATTGTAAATGTTGAAAGTGGCAAAGAATTATTACATGTAGAGAATAATGCATACAATTCAAAGGAGGATGCCTGTCTGGTTATGAACTATCTTGGTGAGAAATCAAGTTATGTGGCATGTCAGCCCTTTGGTTCCAAAAATATACCTTCTGGGAGGTTAGATCTGTCAGATTCTTTTTCAAAGGATGCTTGTGGTACCATTGGTTCTACCTGTGCAATTGACTGTTCTAGTCAGACAGAAAATGAAGGAAAAGATGTTGTCAGAGCCGATTGTGTTTTAAAAACTATATGTCCTGCTCCTGTATCATCTTCTTCTCGAGGGGATAGCCACAAAAGCAAATCAAGCCAAAGGACTCTGTCAAAAAGGGTAACAAAGAACTGCAGGAGCACTGTCAAGGAGCCCAACCCACATGAAAGTATCAATTTTATATGCAAGGTGTCAAGAAGGAAAAGAAGCTGTTCCTCCAAACCAGCCCGTTCTTCTATCTGGGGATTACCGGAGAATGTTGCACCTTTTCTTGTGCGGCACTATGAACCTGAGTTTGATGAAGTGCAGAATCAAGGATCACAAAGAGCTAGGGGCAGCCGAGGAAATAGGAAAGGTATTAAGAATCAAGGTAGCAAAAGTAGAAAAAAGTCTAGTAAGAAAGCTCTCCCTTCAAGTAGTTGTCTTCGTTTTAAGGTT